CTGGAGGCCATAGGTAAGCGCCAGACGCCCTGCACATTGCCTGCACAGTTATCTTAGGCAGAGTTCACATTGGGGAGCCAGACTCGGAGCCCAAACTCTGCCCTTGGGCCAGTGAAGAAAGCCCCCCACACTTATAGTATTACTGGGCACTGTGGGGTAGATAGTTTCTGTCCTGTGCTCCCAAGTGCTAAGAAGGGTGAGGCCACACGCAGACCACCAAGTAGACTCATTGCTGCTATGCCAGAACAAAGCAGGAAGGGGAGACAGGTGACATGAGCATCGTGCATCCGTGCATGATGGCACACACCTGTGACCCTAGCACCAGGGAGGGGTGGACAGACGGATCAAGAGTTCAAAACCATTCCCAACCGCACAGCTAGTTGGAGGCCAGCCGAGGCCACAGGAGACTTTTCCCAAACAACAAACAATTGAAATAAGTGGGCAGTGACTGGGCAGAGCTTAGGGAGGACCACTGGACCTTGGTCTCCCTGCATTGGCTGTTCTGTCTCTGTGTGTTGGTTGTGTCCTTCTCTGGACCAAGGTGGCCATTCATGACAGCCACCCCAGCTCAGCATCCTCCCCAGTTCACGTGTAGCAGTAGAGAAGCCTTCTCCCCAGCCTTGCCGGCTTCAGCCTTTAGACTAGCTGTGGTTCGTCTCATCTGGCCCATGCTGGTGGCTGGGCACCTCCTTAGAGCTAGGGAAGTGAGGTGTGCTCAGTTACGCCTGTAAGTTGTTCATCTCTAATGTTATAGACAGGGTGATGGGGTGGGGGGGGGTGTATCCCACCCATCTGAACATCGGAGCGGGTGGGGACAGTCAGGTGTGGTCTTCCCAGGAAAGGGCAGGATGTGCTGATGGGCAGACAAGGGAGGTATAGTGTGTGTGCATGTCTGTGTATGTGTCTGTGTGAATGCATGTATGTGTCTGTGTGTGTCTGTGGGCACATGTATGTGTGCACGTGTCTGTCTGTGCATGTGTGTGTGTGTGTGTGTGTGTGTGTGTGTGTGTGTGTGTGTGCATGTGCATGCATGCGTGCATGAGTGTGTCCCAGCACACTCTAGCCACTAGCTCAAGGTCTAGCATGCTCTGGAGGGAAAGGCTATAATCAAACAAGGAAGGAAGGACGTAGAGATCCGAGTCACGAACTAAAGGCTTTTGCCTTTGCTCTCTAAGCATTAGGAAGCCCCTCAGGGTCCTGGAGGGGAGAAGGATGTGGGGAGGCTTGTGTCACCCCCTCCCCCCCACCCCAGTGGCTCCTGGTCGTCCCAGGATCCCCTTCTACAGTGTTGGTGGAGAGCACTGGGTGAGCAGGAATGAGCCATGCCACACTCTTCTGACCAACTGTCCCACCCAGCTGGCTCTGTCCTGCTCTGTTCCCTGCCCATCCTGAGTGCTGCCTGGGAAAATACTGCCTTTTAGAAAGCCATCACCTGTAGTCAGAAAGTTTCTCCGGTCCCACCCGGCCCTGCGGTCCCACGGCCACTTATAAAATAACCACTCAGAGGCTTAATAGTATGTACAAACTGTATGGCCTATGGCAAGACTCTTGCGAGGCTAGCTCTTATATCTTAAATTAACCCATTTCTATTAATCTGTATTTTGCCATGTGTTCCGTGGCTTTACCCATCTGCTGGCATCTTGTTGCTCCTTTGGCAGTGGGCACGTCTCTCTGCCTCTGCCTTTCTTCTTTTCTGTCTCTCTCCTCGGATTTCCCACCTGCCTCTAAGCTGCCTTGCCATAAGCCAAAGCAGCTTATTTATTAACCAATGAGAACAACATACATTCACAGCGTACAGAAAGACAACCCCCAGCAACCACCCGACTGGAGCCAGCCTTGGCTAGAGCTGGCAGAAGCTCGGGGCTCTGGTTCAGTCCTCCGTGAAGGTCTCCTAGCTCAGCATCCTCAGCTGATGCAGGGCCTTTGGGAAGAGAGGGCGGAGCCTAGAAGAGGAAAAGGGGCCACCCTGGAGTGAATGACCTGTACCCCAGCATGTGCTCAACTGGAAAGAAAAACCAAGTCACCATGGGTCCCCAGCCAACCCAACTCCCCAGTTCCTTCCTGGGTTGAGTGTCCTGGTTGGGGCATACGACACTGGGCAGGAGTGTCATCTTCTGGGGGACTTCCAGCAGCTTTCCCAGGTGGAGCCATGGCACGTGTGTCATAGCTCTCCACCCTGGCTGGCTCCTGCGGAGCCCCAACATGCTTTAGGCTAGAGAGCCAAGCCCATCCTGTAGGCATGCTGCTCTGGCCAGCCTGATGTTTAATAAGGAACAATAATACTTAGTGGGGAACTAAGTATTTTTCTTAAAAAGCCTTTATTCCAATGTTCAGATGTTCAGTCTCTTTGAGAAATGAGAAGCCCGGTGTCCCTGGGCCCACATTTTTCCTTTGTCTGTGACGGGAGCAGCAAACACCTGCCCTTGAGGTGGCTGACCCAGGTGTCTTACCCCATGTCCCTTGCCCCTCACTGCATCCTGGTTCTGACAGTGGGCAGCAACATATCTCCTCGCCTGTGTGGGTCCCGGGCTTGCTGGGACAAATCAACGCAGTTTGGGTGGCTTAAAAGAACACAGATGTGGTGTCTCTGGTTCTAGAAGTACAAAATCAAGGACCTAGCAGAGCCACGGCTCTGGGCAGAATCCTTCCTTGCTCCTCCATGTCTGGTGGCCACAGGGTTCCTTGGTTCGTGGCCCCATCTCCCCCTGACCTTCTTGTGCTGGTGGTTGTGTTTTGAGACAGGCAGCACTCAAATCACTGGACTCTAACAATCCCCCTGCCTTGACTTCGCGTTAGGGACTACAGGCACTCACTGTGCTCAGAGTACCTTGTCTTCTAAGGACCCTTAATCGCTGGGTAACCAGATAATGAGACTGGCCTCCCTTCAAGATTCTTAACATAATTACATCTGCAAAAGCCCCTTTTATGAAGTGAACAATGCGCACAGGTTCCTGAAAATTCGACCATTCATCCCACATTCGTCAGTGACGTGCCTAGCTCAGCTGCGAGCTGGGAAGGAGAATCCTGCCTGCTTCCCTAGGCTGTTGTGAGGACTGAATGAGCCAGAGAAGTTTATCTGTGACGTGGCATTATGCCAGCCCTGGGTATTGTTAGATGGTCTGGAAGGGCACGGAGCCGCCATCCCTTGAGGCTGCTGTAGGACAGTGTAGCTCTGGTTGATGGCCTGGGGTGCTTAAGTACCTTCTAACGCCTGTTCTCCTTCACCTCCCACAGACAATGGCCCTGTAGGCAAGCGGCGCACAGGGACAGCCACGGTGTTCGTCACAGTTCTGGATGTGAATGACAACCGGCCCATCTTCCTGCAAAGCAGCTATGAGGCCAGCGTCCCAGAAGACATCCCAGAGGGCCACAGCATTGTGCAGGCAGGTGGCAGACTGGGGCCAGGCAGGGCTATGCTCAGCCCTGGGGTCACTGGCTCAGTAACATCATGTCATAAGGGGTAGGGACAGCGGTGGTGGGGGCTGGGGGGGGGTCCAGGATGGCTTGGAAGTGGCTTGCACTTCAAGAAAAGAGATACACGATCCCTCCTCCCTTCTGGGAAGAGTGGGGCCCCCATCTGTGTTAGCTGAGGACAGGGCCCTGGCTCGCCTCAGCCTCCCCCAGAGCCTTTCAGAGCATCAGGGAGGGGAAAGTAACTCTTGCCTGGAAAGGACTCAAGGAGAGAGAGAGAGAGCCAGGGCTCAACAGGGCCAGACAGAGCGGCTTTCACAGCTTCTTGGCCAGGCTCCCCTCTTGGAAGAAAGCAGGCAGAAGAAGAAAGGGCTTTTTGGCCCAGAGGAGGAGCCGCAGCTAAGAGGCCCAGAGGGAGGATGTCCCTGAAAATGAAGCAAGTGTGTGCACACGCGCATTCTACACACACACACACACACACACACACACACACACACACACACACACACACACACGTACATCCGTCCACACACATCAGGAGCGGGGCTTAGTTGCTGGGGGAAGACAGGGACTGAATGGCCCACTTCCCCAGACTCAGTGTGTTCCACATAATTCCAAGGGTAAGTCAAACTCAACAAAGCTGGGCCCGCCACTATGCCCCCAGCTCCGGAGGGAAGGAAAAGTTGGAGATGGAAGAGTGCTTACCTCCCTGGGGAAACACTGGGGATGGTCAAGAAAGGAACAGAGAGCTGACTCAATAGAGTCCAGGAAGGCCAGAGACACGCTAGAGTCCAGTGGCTGGCTTCCAGAGGGAGGGAGGAAATGGGTCCCTCCCCACTCCCGGCCTCAGGTAAGGAAAGAATTAGAGCCCCCGCCCATGAAGCAATGGAACACCACCCTAACTTAGTACCTGACATCCCCAGCTCACTGATAGGCACCCCAGAACCTGTAGCTCACCCAACATAAGGGCATAGCAAGCCATGGGGGAGTCTAGCTTAAGATGCTTAGAGGGAGTGAAGAGGCAAGGGGACCGTTGTTCAAAGCCCTTAGGGGAGAAGCTGGATTGCTTCCTGGCCCTGAAATGCTGGTTTCTATGTACAGAAGACTTAAGTCCACATCCTGGAGTCCCTGAGTGACACAGGGCTCCCCTGCTATCCCTTCTTCTCAGATGTTCAGGGTCTCAGGACATTTTCTCCCCCAGGCCCTAGAAGTGCCTTGCAAAGATACATATTCTCTCTCTCTCTCTCTCTCTCTCTCTCTCTCTCTCTCTCTCTCTCTATCTCTATCTCTCTCTCTCTCTCTCTCTCTCTCTCATCACAAGGATGCAGGAGGAAGGTACAGTGACCTCTCCTCCATAGCATGCTTGGAGAGCCCATGCTGGGAGAACCACCTTCCTTTAGGGGTCTCACTGGGGACGCTAGGTAGTCGGTGTGGGTCAGGCTCACAGCAGATGCCTGCTGCCTTGGGAATGCAGTGAGTGCTGGGACCAGATGCGGCTCCCCGCAGCTCCCAGGCTTGTAGGAAAGAAGACAGGCAAGATTGTACATGCTGCTGGCCTCCCCAAGACAGATGAGAGACCGGAGGCGCTCCAGACGGAAGGGCAGTTCTGTTGCAAAACAAAGAAGGCCTCACAGTGCAGGTGCCAGCAAAGCTTAGACCATAGACAGGGAGGGCACGTTGCTCAGTTGCCTTAAGTGTCTGGCCAAGATGAGGCTAAACTGATCTACTGCCTAGATCCCGCTGCATCCAATGGAGGGGGCACATCCAGTGGGCAAGGGGAGCCAGTGAAGGCTCTGGATCTGGGGAATGGCAAAACCAGAGCTTAGTCCTGGGGACTATTGGGTGACTTTACTCTGGGTTATAGCAGGTTGGGGTGGGCAGCCCTGGGATGGGGTCCCAGGTCACTTGACTCTGGGACAGGACCTAAGCATCTTAGGTTCCCTCTGCCCAATCTTCAAGTCTGAGATGCAGCAGAAGGCCTTGGCCGTGGAACATGGGACAGAAGGCTGGGATTCCCAGCAGCCCACACCACACTGCAGTGGACCAGCTTCCACAGGTCATTTGATGAAGTTGTTGCCATAACATATAGAACACAGCTAGTGCCAGCCAGTCTTGATCCTACCGCTGTCCTGAGAGGTCTGGTCCATGCTGTCTGAGAGAAGGCCACCTCTTTCCTAGTGAGACATGGTACCACTACCATGGTACCATGGTATCATGGTACCATCCTCAGAGTCCAGGTAGCATCCCCTCCAGTACTGGCAGCATCCCCTCCAGTACTGGCAGCATCCCCTCCGGTACTGGCAGTGGCCAGCATCCTACCAGAGTGATTCAGCCTCCACCTACCCTTGGACAACAGCCTCTTTTTTACCTGTTTGTCCAACTTGTTTTGATTTCATTTGAATTAGGATCTCACGTTGTAGCCAGGCTGCCTTGAACAATCCTCCTGCCTCACTCCTATTGCATGCTGGGATTACAAGTATAAACTACCACACTCAGCATATAGGAAACTTCTTCTGTAGGCTAATGTCTTCAGGCCCTCCCAATCTGTCTTGACAGGGGGCCACGAAGGAGCTTCCCAGGCTCACGATTTGATACTTGCCAAGCCCCTGTCTGGCAACCAACCAGATCCACAAGAAGGGGCAGGAAGGTCAAAAAAAGGACCCCCGGGGTCCCTTTCTCTGGAGTACTAGGTTAGCACAGATATGCAGGCTAGTGTAGACCCAGGGTAGGCAAACATCCCACTTGGTTGAGGTGTCTGGACCTTTTAGCAGCTGCTCTAAGCTGGGCCTTTAGAAGATGAGCAAGGCTTCTGGAGGGGCAGAGAGGGCTATTCCTGGGATCAGTAGATACCTGGCTTCCAAAATAGCTGTGATGCCCCCAAGTTATACCTCGGGGCCGCAGAGTAAAGGTCTAGAGGCCGGTGGGTATTTTGAGCCAAGGGTCTGTTAGTAAGCAGGGGCCACCAGAGTCTTCTGGGAAAGAACAAGGGCTGGACACACAGGGAAATACCGGGGTGATATGGGGTCCAGGGTATCACTGCCCTACAGTCTGTGATGCCAGGCTCCATCGGAGATAGGATGATCTTAGGTGAGCCTGTGTGGGGATGAGCACTGTATCACATCTTGGTGGCTTCAGTGAAGTCACAGTCACCTCGGTGGTCATCAAGGCCCGGCAGCGGTGAGGGACACTGCTGGACAGCAGGCCTGCCTCGCCGGAAGCTGTGCAGAGAACGTCGTAGGGAGCCCAGGCGCTTCCAGAGCCGGAGCCTGGGCTCACTGGGGCTTACCGGGTGATGCGGCATGCATTCTCGGGCCCCTTGACGACCAGGGTCCAGCGCAGCGGGCTTACACAGCATCATGAAGAGCAGGCAAGAGGCCAACAGCAGAAAAATACAGGCCAGGGCGATGAGAACCGGCACAGGGTCAGCAGCCGGGGTGTAAGTCCCAGAAGTGGTAGGAGTCATAAGGAAGGTTGGAGGGCTGGGGAAGCTGGGACCTCCTGTGGTCATGGTACCTGCAAGGACAGGACAGAGAATCAGGGCAAAGCAGCTGCACCCCAGGCATGGACAGGTGAGACTTACCTGGAGTACACCAATGGGGGCTCCCATGATGCTTTTGTCACAGGTCAGTACAGCAAGGCCCAGAGAGGCATCAGATACAGCTGATTCGTGATGGGCTGGGTCTGAACCCGGGCCTTCTTTCTGCTAAACCCTTGCCCCGTGGCTGTGGAGAACACAGCGTATTGAAAGCTTTCTGGCATTTTATAATCGGCTCTCAGCAATTGCCATATAGTCTTAAGCCTAAAAACCCAAATCGAAGCCCGAATCTGCCAGTAAGCCACTTAATGAACCAAGAACAAGGCAGAGTATAAGGTGCTGTGGGTAGGTGGATATAGGGACCCCAGCAATGGCCCCCAGCCCTCTCTGAGTCACTCAGACACACTCGGGAAATACAAACCGTCAAGAGTTGACAGAGTGAAGCCAGAAACCTGCCCTGTGGCATCATTCACCTTCTAGACATTTCCATTATCCCTTCAGAGAATCCATCCTGTATGGGGAATGCCGCAGGCTGTCCTCATAGACAGAGGACAGGCTAAACTGGATGTCTGGGAGCTGGTGATAATGATTCCAGGGCCTTAGTGCGGGTAATGCATAGCCAAAGAAAATAGATAGGCAGCTCCGAGGGGCCCCGGATGGCCCCCACAGCCTAAGCTGGCCCTTGAAGACCTAAATATTTTTGCCAGGCTCTTCAGGCTCCCCAATTGAGGCAAGAAAGTTTTTGGGTTTTTTTTTTTTTAAGGCAAACATTCCTGCTATTTAAATATTGACATCTAATTTGAAGTTGTTTAAAGCAAAGAAGAAAGACAGGTATTACAAAATGCCGGATAAACTTGATTCCAAAAGTTTTGAAATCCATTGTCAAATATTGGAGGTGCGACACAGGCCAATCCAAACACACAAATGGCCCCCGTCCAGCTGACGGGCCAGCATCTGTGGCTTTTGAATTGCACAACCCAGTAGAGAAATCCAAAGATCCAAGTAAAACTCTGAACTTAGAGACTCCGAACTTGAGTCTCACCTGAGGTGGAGGGAGAGCAGCTTCCTCCTTTCCGGGTTACTTTGCATCTCCCTCAGGCTCTAGCACCAAATCCAGGGCCACCGAGGAGGCTCAGTCATGCCAAGGCCCTACCTGCAGTTATGGGGAATCAGAGAGCATGACCACCCTGGCCCCTTAGCCCCTACAGCCCTTGGCCCAGGGGGGCACTCACCAGCAACTCCAGGACCTAACTCCTGGCTCCTGGGCACAGCTAACGGAGGGCATCCAGTGCTCTCCACCCACCTACCACCCATCTCTTACCCCAGCCCCTCCCAGCCTTTGAAGCCGCTTCAGGCTGGAAATTCTGATGCTCGTCTAGCTGCTCAGGGCCTCCGCCCTTCAGGCCTTGGGCCTGGAAAGCCCTCTGAGTGGACAGCATTCACGGATCAGCCCTTCCTGGAGTCTGAGCTGGAGGAGGGACGGGGTATGCCCACTGCCATCCTCCATGGAAAGAAACTAGCTGTCCCTTGGCTCTCAGGACGTGGTCCCGGTAAGGAAAAGGCAGTCCCAGCTGAGAAGGGCTTCCGTCCTACTAGCTCAGAAGCCAGAGAAGCTGTGAGGCTGAAGGCCCTGGGGCCACTTCTACCTGGGCATCCCAGGCACTCTGGTGGTAGTCAGGGACTCTGGGGTGCTTGAGAAGGGGCCCAGAGCTTGAGGCAAGCCCAGCGGCTGGATTCCCTGTTATCAGTCATCAAGAACAGCTGGTTCTGGAGGAAGTCCTCCTAAACCCCAAGCACGGAGCCCACTTCCTACTGGAGCCCTCCACTGAATGCGCCCCTCTACCAGCCCTCACTAGAACTTTCTTACTTCCCTTAGAATCCCACAGAGGAAGCGTGACCTTGGCTTAGCCATTCCCCTTGACTGGGCCTCGTTTCTTTTCTCAGAGCAATAGAAGGACTCCCCAGATCTGAGCACACCTTCATGTCCTCCCAAGTTCCCGGTAAATGTCTCCCCACTTCCTTCACTGGCTTCCTCTACAACTTCCACTTCAACACTGGCCTCAGGCCTACCCTTGGAGGTCTGTATTCTCAGTGGCAAGGTCTCTCAGCGGTCCCAGGAGGTCCAAGGTGTACCAGCCGACTCTGTCCCTATGTATTACGGGGGCCCTGCAACCAGCTGGCTTTCTCCCGGCTTTTCCTGCTGGGACTGGTTTCGTTGGGAGAGTCCTGGCCTGCGGGGGCGGGGGGGGGTGGAGTGGGGGGGACACAACTGGGGGCGAGCGTAGGGATGGCAACTGAGTGGGAAGGAGGAGAGGGGAGGCTCCCGCGTGGCTCACTCCAGCCTGTCTCCTTGGAGTCCTCACATGTGTAAAGAAACACTGGTGATAGCAGGGGCCGGGGTTAACCGCCTCACGGGCCGGGGCTCCCACCATCCCCCTTGGAAATTTGAATGGTATGGTCGACTATTCAGTGCCTGCCAACCTCCAGGTTACCAGGGAGAGGGTCTATTAGCAGAGAGACCGCAGGAGGAGGACAACCGGAGTGATGGGCCCTACAGCCCCCCCCCCACTCTCCCCCGCAGGGTCCCTAGGCCTCGTCTTCCCGGGATTCCCAGAAGAGCGTCCCTTTTAAGGCCAGAAGGCTGCAGAAGTGAGGGCCAGGAGCATTTTTCAAATTTCAAAACGCTGGACAGAGGGACAGCCAAGGACAGGCCACTCACAGTTTGAGTGGAGTACCGGGTTCTCTCCAACCCTCCCCCACAGCCCTCCTTTCCTCTAAGAATCCCAGACTTCCCTGGCAACCAGCTGCCTGCCGAGGGGCCCAAGTTGTGTGCGGCTTCTCTACCAGGGGGCTCCAAAGTCTCGGAATGCGTCATGGTAGTAGTCACAGCTCCATCTAAGGCCTATAGCCCTTCACCACAAAACAAAGCCTTGTCTCACTACCCTGAAGTGGACAAGAGCCTTCCAGTGTACTATTAAACATGGAGGGAGCCTTGGTGACCCAGCACGGTCCCTCCCAACAGGTGACAGGGCTGTGCTCCAGGTAGGCATAGCCTGCCCAGAGTTAGCCAAGGAGTTAGCGCTGGGTAGGAACCCGGTGTTTCCCTAATGAAAGGACAAGAGCCCTTGCCACAGATAAATGGGGGCCCCAGTCTCTCTGCTGGGTTGATCTTTGCAAGGATCAAGAACCCCTCTTCGGGCCTCCTCTCTCTTGAAGTATGTGATCCATGAGTGAAGATGGGAAAGTTTGTGTTAGAGCCTTGAGCACCCAGTCACAAAAACCTGATTTGAGAGCCGTGTGGTGGTGGTACACGCCTTTAATCCCAGCACTCGGGAGGCAGAGCCAGGCGGATCTCTGTGAGTTCGAGGCCAGCCTGGTCTACAGAGTGAGTTCCAGGAAAGATGCAAAGCTACACAGAGAAACCCTGTCTCAAAACAAACAAACAAACAAACAAAAAACAACTGATTTGATCACTGTGGACAAGAGACATGTGCTAGAGCAAACCTGGAATAAACCACAGGATCATGGGGAAAATCAAATGGAGACCCAGGTGCAGCTGAGCGTGCAGCATCCTGGGGACCAGGAAACTAGACGTTTCAGTGCTGCGTGTTGCATGTGACTTTTATCTGGGCTCACTCAGGGTCAGCTCAGTGTCTCTCACTGAAGACGTGCCGCTAAGTCATTTACATCTCCAATCAACAAATATATAAAAAGTCGGGTTGTGGCGATCCAGTCCTGTAATCCAGCACTTGGGAAGTGGAGGTGGGGAGATCAGGAGTTCAAGGCCAGGCTGGACTACTTGAAATCTAATCTCAAAGCAACAACACAAAACACAAACAGCCCTACTATGTGCGCTGGGGACTAGGGACATGGCAGTGCACAAACCTGTAGCAGGAATCTTAGAAGGTCTTATTAACAAAAACAAACCTGGAGCAAGGTATTGGGGTGAATGCTGGAAAATCAGAGGAGCAGAACAAGCCACAGCTACCTCACCTCGCCAGTTCCTCAGCTGATCCTGTTTCCTCAGACTGGAAGCCTCTGAGTCCTTATCCAATTGGATCTCAGCTGAACTGTGCTGCTCAAAAGCCTAGAAGCTTAACCAGCTAAAAGCTTCTAGATTCTGGTCTTCACGCCTTATATACCTTTCTGCTTTCTGCCATCACTCCCTGGGATTAAAGGCTCACTTTCTGGGATTAAAGGCGTGAGTCACCATGCTTGGCTGTATCCTTCAACACAGAGAGATCCAGGTAGATCTCTGTCTCTGGAATGCTAGGATTAAAGGCGTGAGTGCCACCATTTTCTAGCCTCTGTATCTAGTGGCTGTTCTGTTCTCTGACCCCAGATTAGTTTATTAGGGTGCACAATATTTGGGGGAACACAAAACCACCACACAAACCTCTTTCTCTTTTGGGGGGACAGTGTAGAGGGAGACAAGAACATATTCACTCAAGGTAGAATACTGACAACAAACCCAAGAAATGATTTACCCAAGTTCTCCTTGGTCAACTATAACTTTATTAGCATTACTTATAGGAGCATAAATGACTCAAAAACAGTTGCATCACCATGGGTGATGACTCCCAAAGATGTAGCCTCCCACCTAATTTTTAAGCAGCTCCACCCAAGAGTCTCTTCAGTAATTATTGTCCACTGGAAAAAAACGGTTTTCCTGCCCAAGGCTGACAGCAGCAATAATCTATGAATATAATATAAACGCCGAGGAGGCAATTTGACGAGAACATCACATCCGCTGAACAGAACAACAGCTGTGGCCTTGCTACTAGGGTCTGTGACCTCCCCAGCCCTGAGGTGTCACCCTAATTTATAGTGCCAAAGATGAGTTCTGCCCTGTGGCATGGGCCTTAAGTCCAATAGAAAAGCACCTATAACAGCCGTGCCACTATTATCCCAGAGGGCACATTTTGCCGGCCATGTAGCCCCTCTAGGGTCCATAACAGAGGAAGATTGCGACTTCTCTCTTAACAGCCTGCGTAGCACCTTCTAGCACTGTAAGTTCAGCCAGCAGGGAAGGAGCTCCCAGCTCTGTCCTGGCTTGCTTTCTTCAACATGTGTTGTATCTTCAACAATAAGGACGTACCACCTAACGTTGGTATGCAACCAACAGCAGTCACAATAGCCTATCTGATGTGGGGGTTCTTGGGGACCTCTCCGGCCCACAACTCATCCAGCACTGGGATAATTCATCATTATGGCTTCTGGGCATGCCCTTTTCCACCTATGTGGTTTACTTTCATTTTGGACTCTTTAGCTGCTATCCTTACTGTTATTCCAGATGTTTTTCCAAATCTGGGAGACACTCAGGATTGGCATTATACAATGAGGCCTTTTCATAGAGGATGGGCATACTCTCTGGAGCCCCATGACTATCCACTGTAAACAAGTATCAGTGGTTGTGTGGTTCAGCAGCTAGGGGGATACCAAAAGAGTGTTAGCAAGGTCCAATGCATCATGGGAAGATCTTGTCACTGTTGTCAACTGTTTCCTCAAAAAACCAAAGAGCAGTGTTGGGTACCACATCATGGGTGGGGGCTCTACCCTATCTGTCACTCCAGAATGCACAATCGTCCTCCATAAACCACCCTATCTCCTCATCCTGGGGCACTGACATGGGGTTGCCATGTGTTTCCCTGCCCACGATGGCCTTGATAGAGATAGGTTGTGACTCTTGACTGAACTGGCAATGAAGGGTGGATGGGGTTCATGTGGTCATCTGTCATGCCCACTAAAGGACTGACTGTCTGATTCTGGACCAGTACCCTGGTCACTGTCCATTGACAATACCCAGTTACTGAAAGGTACTGAAATCTAAATGAGGTTTTCGATACAGAATCTCACTCTGTAGTCCAGGCTAGCCTAGAACTTGCTATGTAGATCGGGCTAGCTTTAAAATTATGACAGTCTTCCTGGCCTTGTGTGCGATGCTGGGATGGCAGGCACATGCCACCCCTCCAGCCCAGTACCCTTTCTTGAAGGGGGAAATGCATACAGCTTATTCT